TTTTGGCTAAGATGTATTTGTGCTAGCTGTATTGGCTAAAATGTATTTGTGCTAAGATGTATTTGTGCCAACTGTATTGGCTAAGATGTATATGTGCCAAATGTATTGGCTAAGATTTATTTGTGCTGAATCTATTGGCTAAGATGTATTGGTGCCGAATCTATTGGCTAAGATGTATTTGTGCCGAATCTATTGGCTAAGATTTATTTGTGCTGAATCTATTGGCTAAGATGTATTGGTGCCGAATCTATTGGCTAAGATGTATTGGTGCCGAATCCATTGGCTGAGTTGTATTGGTGCCGAATCCATTGGCTAAGATATATTTGTGCTATATGGAGCCATGTTGGAGTTTACAGCCGGTGAACAATAGGCATGATAATAATAGTAATAATAATAATAATAATAAGTAATAATAGTTATGTATGTGAAAGCCGAAGTATTTTGGCCATGTCAAGCGCTGTGGTGGTATGGAGAGAACGGTAAGGAAGGGAGCAGTTTCAGTAAAACGAGGCATAACGCCGACCTACGCAAATGTGGATACAGGACAGTGAGTGCATTGGATAATAAAGCACATAGGGCTGGCGAATTGGCTAGAGAAAGAGGGACTTTCAGACGTGCCGTGAAGATTAATTGATTTAGTAGGTCCTTTGCAGAACGTCGCTCTCATCACTGTCTGTGAATCAAAGTGGGTCTCTCGCCAGCCATTATGCCTCCTGCACTCTCTTGCCACTGATATCACGTGCCCATCTTGTGCTGGTTGGCAATAATGATGATGACAACAACAACAAAAACAACATCAACAAGTATAGTAAAGGACCTTTTTACACGCATTCATCGGACATATAGGGCTAGACCTTTATAAAGTCGTGTTTCAGTTTACAGATTTCGCTTATTTATATGCAGACTGTTGGTTCCTCGGCTCTTGGGCAGACCTATGACAATTGGGAATGTAGCACCCATTATTAGTCGACTTTTGCGACATACTTGTTAGCGGACTATGGATTCCCCCTTCCCCCCCCCCCCCCCCCCCCACTCACACTATCTGGCCCCGGAGCCCACACGGAGAGAATACATAAATATAACAATATACTTGAAATAATGTGAAATATATAACCAGGTACTTGTGGTCTCAAGGCATGGTGTCCGCCTCGAGTTCTAAAGGTTCCGGGTTCAATCCCCGAAAAGGGCTGGGATGTTTTCACGTGGACTTGGCCTTCTAGTAATTCCCCCTGATCTCTGGGTGGTGAGATTAGACGCCTGTGCCAATTGTTGCGCACGTGAAAAATCCATTGGCAGTTGGAAATCGAAAAGAGTAGCCCAACGGCGCTGCCCGGGCAAAAAATGTGGAGTTAATAATCTACCTAAAGTATTTCAGGATCCTCGCCGGTGCTACAGAGCCTGTGCACTGTGCTGAGCTTCTTCGGACTCAGACTTGAGTTAGAAGAAGAACGGAGCACTAAGGGTTACTATCCGTGTGCCATGATGTTGATCCGTTGTTCACATCTCAAACCTCAAAGAGAAGTTCTGTAAATGGCAAATGGTTGCATTTAGTTCTGCTTATTAAACAGTTTAGTCGGCTCTGTGGCTAAGTCGATGCGAACGCTTCGTTATGCAGGGGTGCCGTGTTCGATTCCAGCTGCGGGTCATGCGCCTTTCGTTGATTTCGACAGTGGTATCAGGGGGCCGACCGTCCATAAAGCAATGGCAAACTACTGGACGTAAATTTGCTTAGAAAAACCACACAACAGCCAGGGGCTGCTGGGGTTGGTTCTTCAACGTCCTGTAAAGGATACACAACTAACCTATTAAACAGTTTAGTACAAAATTATTAGGGCTGATTGATTACACAATTATTAGGGCCGATTACACAATTATTAGGGCCGATCAATGGACCTCAGTCCGTAGATTCCGGCATCTATGAACCGAGGTGAAAGGCGGTAAGTTACAGGTAGTGGCGTGTCAGTGACCTCGCGTGACCTGGCGAGCCGGGTCAATCGATACCTGGTCGTGGGCCTGATCATCTCATTGATTGTCTTCTTCCATCCCACTCTGTCCCCCCTGAACTCATTTAATGTCTTTTTCTATCCCGGTTTGTCTGAATCTTCTTCGTTTATTTTCGTTTCTGGGCACGATTGCTTTTAACTGGTGTTTTTAATGACACGTTGCAAGCTTTAATTTTATCTTTACCTTGTTAATTCACGCCCCATGTGTGCGTCATCATCATCATCATCATTTGATTGTGCCTTTTTGCGCCACTTGCGTACAGTAATGTAGAACAGATGTAACACTCCACAGTTAACTCTTCTTCTTCTTCCTCTTCCTCTTCTTCTTCTTCTTCTTCTTCTTCTTCTTCTTCTTCTTCTTCTTCTTCTTCTTCTTCTTCTTCTTCTTCTTCTTCTTCTGCTGCTGCTGCTCTCTTCTTCATGTTTTTCGCCTCCTCTTTCTTCCTCTCCTCTTCCTCCTCTTTCTTCTTCTTTTCCTCCTCCTTCTCCTTCTCCTCTTCCTTTTTTTTCTCCCCCTTCTTCCCCTCCCCTTCTCCTCTTCCTCATCCCCCTGTTCCTTCTTCTTTATGTTCGTCTTCTTCTACCCACTATCTCACAATGAAGCATGGACCCTCGACCAACTCCCACTAAGACTTCCTAACCTTTGTTGTTGCATGCAGCTCACCCTGTGGCCTCCCATTCTTTTAAAATTAATTCTCTGTCGTCCTTCTGCCTGTGTTTTTTTGGTCTGCATTCATTTTTATGCCACAGCAGGTTTCGTTGCAAAGACATTCTAGTTATGTTGTTGTCAGAGTTTCTCAGTGTATGTCCTGTTCACCGCCAGCGTCTTTTCTTCACCTCTTATTTTACTGAAATTTGTTCAGTTCTCTCGCAAAGCTTAACATAAGTGATTGTATCATACCGTTTAGTTCCCTGTATTCCGCGTAGGCAAACACCTTGACCTCCATGTCGACCCAACCTTGAGTGGGTACCGGGTGCAGTCCCGGGAAGTAAAAGCGGCCGGCGTGATGCCACATCACCCATCTTGTGCTGATTGGTGAAATATAGGTGTAGCCCTATGTGCCCTATGCTCCTAATGGCGTGGAAAAAGGACCTTTACTTACTTGACCTACACAACAGTAAATTGTTTACATATTAGGAACTACTTCATCCTGTGGAGGTTGTTGCTGGTGCTTGCTGGAGGGTTTGTCTCCAGGATCAGGGATAAAGTTTGCCCATGCACGGACGTAGTGTGCATATTAGGATTGTAAAAGATATATGCTGGCCATGTCAGATATAGAGAGAAGCCGTGGTGGAGCAGCTAGACGCTCGCCGCGGATCGGAAGGTTGTGGGTTCGCTCCCTGGCGGAGCTGGACTTTTTCAAAAATGACCTTGGCTCCCAGGTCGACCCCGCCTTGAGTGGGTACCAGGTGCAGTCCCGTGAAGTAAAGGCAGCTGGCGTGATGCTGACCACATCACCCATCTTGTGCCGATTGGTCTATAAAAATTTTGGTCTAGACCTATATGCCCTATATGCCTAAAGGCGTGGAAAAGGGTTCTTTACCTTTATCATATATAGAGCACCCGTCCCACAATGTTTGAGGTTACTAAACACAAGAAAGACCTGGTTACAGAACTTGACTGACTGGCCAGGCCACAGGCGTGTTACCATAGAGTTCATCGCAGCTGAACGCCAGAGGTGGAGAGAGCTGGTCAGACACTCAACAGAAACTGGTGACCCAACGACACGCAGTATTACGGCATGTTGATGATAATGATGATGAAAAACAAACCCTGCGGTTCGTTTGTCTACTTCTTTGCAGCCTCTACCTGTGAGCAGTGAGTCCTGAGCTAAGAGCTGCCGTGGTCGCACTCGGAACATTTCCCTGGCTTTCCGGGGAACTCTGGGGTTGCTTGTGTTTGGGGTGAATAAAAAAATTAAGAACCTAATGAAAATAATAATGATAATAAGAGGAGGAAAAATACAAAGGGGTATCACGGGAGCTGGTGATCCTAACACAGTGTACCCGTCCCCTCACTGCACGCCAGAAATGATTCACATGAGAGATGGTTCTCCTGTTATGGGAGTGGTAATTGTCACACACAGCACAGGGGAGATGGTTCTCCCAACATGGGTAGTGATGGAGAAATGGTTCTTCAATAATTGATGTGATGATTGCCTCAACACAGGAGAAATGGTTCTTCAATAATTGATGTGATTATTGCCTCAACACAGGAGAAATGGTTCTTCAATAATTGATGTGATTATTGCCTCAACACAGGAGAAATGGTTCTTCAATAATTGATGTGATTATTGCCTCAACACAGGAGAAATGGTTCTTCCATAATGGGTGTGATGATTGCCTCAACACAGGAGAGATGGTTCTTCCATAATGGGTGCGATGATTGTTTCAACACAGGAGAGATGGTTCTTCCATAATGGGTGCGATGATTGTCTCAACACAGGAGAGATGGTTGTCCTAGTGTGGGAGTGATAATTGTCTCAACACGGGAGAGATGGTTGTCCTAGTATGGGAGTGACGATTGTCCTAACACAGAACAGTTGTCCCCCAACATGGTGAGCATTTCTTCCATAGAATATATGTTTCTCAGGACATCGGTTAGATTGCTGCCCCATAGACAATGCTGATTGTTCCTCACTATCATTGCATAGTCCAGATTTCTCCTCTGTATATACAAATAAATGGTTTGTTTTCATATCGGTTGGAGTTGTAATTTCTGCCACATTTTCACGATTTTCCTAAATTTTTTATTGCAGGTCTTCTTGTCTGCTAGGGGACCTAGCATCATCTACAGTTGCCACCGTGGAGTAATTCAAATCTTTCGACCCTAAAAGGGTCAGGTCAAGGGCATACCCTCGACCCACTGTGGCTGGCGACACGCAGACCACAATTTGATCGAGGACGCTGACAGTTGCCAGAAAATCCTGGCACGGACTGCTGGGCGGCACCGGGGTTGGTGAGGTCTCGATCTGCTTGAGCGGACATAACATCGACATGAAGAAGCTGAAGCGTCGGTTGTCCTTGACCTTGAGCAAACGAGGTCGTACTTTAGACGAAAGCTTATCTGAACTTGCCGAGCAGATGACCATTGATGACGTGGTAGCCCTGAGCGAGCAGCAGCTACAACAGCAACAGCATCACCACCTGCAGAATCCACTACACAACCATCTTCATCGCAGTCAACCACAGCTTGATCAATTCCGAATACCTTCGGCTCCACAGCTTCTGCAAGGCAACACAGCCAGTGAGGAAAGACCTGGCCGGTTAAAAACATTCTATCCATTCAGAGCAGGGATTATTCACGAAAACGGTAAGCTTTTTGTTCACTTGTGTTATTATTGGCTTCTGGCGTACCAATCAGATCTCTATCATAAATGTTCGTTGTATTCTGGACAAAGCATTACGGCTGCCGCGTTTGTAATTGTTGCTGTGTTTGATATTCGACATTAGCTTGAATAATATACATTTATGTAACCTGTGGTACCATTTCAATGGTTTGAGATGAATTATGTCTGCATTCCATAGTTGTGGATTTCCAGCTGTACGATAGACATGGCTAATAAATACACCCTTTTTAGGGGTGCCTAGTTGGTCATGTATCATAGTTGACTTTTTGCCACAGCGTGGCGCACACGCCATCTGGAGGTGACAGGTTCGATTCCCGGCACGGTAACTGTAGCTTTGGATTGTTATGTCTGATGTACTCTTCTTTCTTTCTACTTCTTTCTATGAGTGCTTATCAATACATTGTTTATTATTATATATATAGTATTTCTACGGTCTCAAGGATCCTCCCTCTGTTTGTCTCTTGCTTTTACAAAAGATTGCGATTATGGGACACCAGTTAGTCCTGTTGAAGTAAGGGCTTCATTTGTTGTTGTTAGTTTGCTGGCGGGAATAGCTTGATAGGGGCCTATGACTATGTTCAGCCCTGCTAAGACAGTTTCAGTTGTAATTGTGGTCTAGTTTTATTTGCGCCAAGTGTAATGGCTAAAATCAGCCGTTCTCAACCTATGGGTCGGGACCCATGTGTGGTCGAACGACCCTTTCACAGGGGTCGCCTAAGACCATCGGAAAACAGATATTCACTGACGTTATTAAGTAGCAACTAAAATAATGTTATGGTTGGGGGTCACCACAACATGAGGAACTGTATTAAAGGGTCGCGGCATTAGGCAGGTTGAGAACTACTGGCCTAGATGGTTTGTTGTGCCAAGAGTGTTGGCTGTTTGTTGCTAGCTGTGCTATGTCGGCACTCTGAACATGTTTGTATCCTCCCTCCATATTGGTCCAGTGGTCCGGATGAGGGTTCCGATTTTTCTGTCTGCCTCTCTTTTGTGTGTGATTGTGTTATGTGTGATTGTCTTATATGTGATTATGTTATGCGTGATTATGTTGTGTTATTTGTGATTGTCTTATATGTCATTGTGTTATGTGTCATTGTGTTATGTGTCGTTGTGTTATGTGTGATTATGTTATATGTGATTATGTTATGTGTGATTATGTTATGCGTGATTATGTTGTGTTATTTGTGATTGTCTTATATGTCATTGTGTTATGTGTCATTGTGTTATGTGACGTTGTGTTATGTGTGATTATGTTATATGTGATCGTAGCTGCACTGCCGTTATCCCATAACGGTGCCACGCATTAGGTCTGCAGTCATATGGCGGGAAACAAGACCATGGGCGGGTGGCGGATACTAAGGGGCGCGCTGTGCAGACAGTGTGGACTCTCTAATGTGTCTATATCTGTTGTTTCTACCTGGCTTTCTGGTCTCTCTCTCTCTGCTCTCTTTCTGACTGTCTTCTTTCTCTCTCTCTCTCTCTCTCTCTCTCTCTCTCTCTCTCTCTCTCTCTCTCTCTCTCTCTCTCTCTCTCTTTCGCTTCACACACATACACTTGCGCGCGCGCCAGTGATAATTGCCGATATAAATGCAGCAACCCTGTGTGGCCGGCTTGATCACAGCAGTGCATAGTTATCAAGAATGTTTGTCTATTGCGTTCACTGCCGCCTTCATTTAACAGGCATAATTTTCATCATCAAGTACCTCTCTGACTGGCGTGGGCGATCATACTTCTCCACATCCCTGGCATCATGTCAGTTCGTGTGCTGAATGTATAATGAACAAGTGGAAGATGAGTCTTAGGCAAGGCCGAAGTGAGAGGGTCCGCGTTTTTAATATGGTTCTCCTGGGGACGCTTCCTGTGGCCCCATATGGGCGTGCGGGAGGGAGGGGGGGGGGGTGGTCGAGAGGGATGTGACCTGCAAACCCCCTAATATGCTTGTCGTAAAGTGCGACTAGTTAGAGGTGTTTCCTTTGAACTCAGAATGCATCTGCCTGAGAGGGAAGGAGACAACAGCGTGACTATAAATAAGCCAGATCTGTACAACGGATGTTGTACGCAAAACTCAAGCTGTGGATGGAACCACATTGAAAAATCCAGAAGTGGACGAACAACCAGAACTTTCCGCTTGAGTTTACACAGACGGAGTATTGTTCCTAGCTGTTCCTCTAACTGTACCAGTGTCCTTCTCACAGCCCACGTCAGCCGTCAGTCCAAGACTGACAGCTCGAAGACACTGACCACTCAAATCTTTTGCCTGTTTGTCCCCTTCTTCTTTCTCACCCGGTCTCTTCTTTGTTCACAGTTTCCCAAACAAAAATTTCAACCACAAAGACGACAAAATTAAATGATATTGGCGTAGACGAATATTAGAGTTCCTCTGTATCTGCACGCTTGAATACTGTATTTTTTCTCTTCCTCCTTACACGTCTGTCTGGCTGTTTTGATCTGTTTGTGTGTCTATCGTCATGTCTGTCTGTCAGGATGTGTTTTTGTTCCTTCTTCTCCCTCTCTTACCTTCTTTGCGCCTTGCTCTGTATCTCACTGTCTGGATCTTTTGGTCGCTGTTCCTGTGTGTGTTTGTATGTATTTCTGCCTGTCCTTCTGTCTATCTTCTAAGGCTCATTTATTTCCCTTATGATCCTCTCTTCAGCTTTCTCTCTTTTCTACTGTCTTTATATACTGCTCTCTCTACCCCCCCCCCTCCCTAAGGCCCCCCCCCCCTCGTTCCCTCTGCCTGCCTCCTACCAGTACAGTTTGCTGTAGTCTATTAAAATAATCTACGTGGAGGTCACACTGACCTGCTCTGACCCCAGCCAACCCAGGGCGTCCGTTAAATCGGGTCACTGGCAGAAATACTTAGTTTCAAGAAATGAAATTTATAAACATTTTCATAAATTGAAATATGAAATAACATTTTCAGTATGGTTTCCATCGTTTGTGGCGCAGAGGTTGATGTGATTTGCAAAATTCACTTGAACTCGGTGCAATAAATCCACATTGCCGTCAATTTTCGAACATATACTCGTTATTTTCCGTGTGTGCAGACTTTAGGGAAGATGTACAAATCGAACGAAAAGTAGACTAGCGAGCTTCACAGTATAACACACACAAACGAAAAGTGAACGTTGCGGTTACAGAGCCTTTACCAGCACATATATAAATCAAACAAAAACACAAAAATACACAAAAATCACTTAGCTGACGTATCCCGAATCAGCCACGTGGATGTCTTGCTAGTGGAATCCAGACTTTAGTGACTGTTGAACTATGACCTAGTGACCAGCAAGTTTACCTTTCTCTGAACGTGAACTTCTAGTACCGGTCTGGTAGGCGCTACTTGTTTCTAGCCCTGGACACAAGGACAGCTGTGTCAGACCCTATAAGATGGTACTAGGGTACCGGCTAGGGGAGAGTTTTCTCTACCTACCTGACTTTGAGACAAATGTGTTAAGGTTTTACACGACCTGGGCGTCAGTGCTTCTGGCTTTAGAGATGGTTTGGTCAATAGCAGTCATATCAAGCCATTGATGTCTGTCTGTCTGTCTGTCAGTGTGTCTGCCTGCCGGTCTTTCTTTCTGCCCACCTACATGTCAGTCTGCCTGACTGTCAGTCTGACTGCCTGCCTACCTGCCTTCATGTTCGCCTGCCTGTCTGTCTGTCTTCTGTCTGTTTCTCACTCTTTCCTCTGTCTCTCTCTTCCAACAAAAAGTCGGCAATGCTGATATGTATTTTTACTTTTGCCCCATGTCCCTCAGTGGAGCCTAGGCCCTTAAACCAGAGCGTCTTGTAATTCCATTGTGTTTGAACTAGTGTTTGATCTTTGACCTATCCTGCACCGCATGTGCCAGTGATGTCTTGCAAACTAGAATACCGGGCTAATTACTATCCCAGCCTCGGGTCAGGTGACCTAAGACAGTGTCATGCCTCACCTTGGAACCAGACTCTAGACAACCACGGAGGCACGTCAGCATGCTACCACACTCACCATCTCAGCTTGACTAGTTCCTTCAACTTGCACAGCCGCTGTGTCAGTTATAGCGACAGTGTAATCGGCTGCATAGTCGCAGTACAGAAACACGACAAAACACTCGACCAGCCAGCCGCACTTCTTGTCGTCTTCTCAACAATCGATGACCTTGCTGGGGCCGGTTAGTTCACGGTGTACTGGCTACTTTTGATTTTTGCCTCGTCTGTGTGTGGTTTGTTTTTCTACAGGTCTCCAAATCTTTTTTTTTTCTGGCTGTAACGATTCAAGGTGGCCCATCAGTTTCTATGCATAGGGGGAAAAAAAGACATTTTAAATGGAAACTGTTTTTAATTTGCATAATTGATCTACATGACCACCTATCTTTTGAAAACCAATTTCGATGCTTGTCCTTTTACAGCTGGAAAGGGGATTTGGGGGGGGGGGGGGGAAGGGGGACGTATAACCACACCAGAGTTATGCTTGTGAAAATGTAACAAAGTAAGATCTGGAGATCTAAGAGGCCACTCCACAGAACCTTGCCGATCTATCCAAGTACCTGGAAACCATTGACTTACGGTTTTGTGTGTGTGTGCTATGTATGAAATCTTCAGGGACACCTGGTTTTACAGAGAATAGTGATAGTAGTCGAGGTTTCAGCTTCATCGCAACCTGGTCGCCACATAGTTTTTCTGTTCGTGTGCCATTGAAATTCGCTGAAATATTGAATAAAAATGTAGCCCCGGCAAAATCCATAAATGTACACACGCAGTAAATGTATAAGGCCCTTGCTAGAGACGATAAAGCCGATAATTGACCCCTGAATTGCAGTTTGTCTGATGGAAGTAAGCAGTCAGTTACCACGAGACGGATGTACGTACGCACAGTTATTACATAAGGTATTTCGCCAGCCCAGACGCCAGGACCGAATTTGACAGCTGTATAAAGCCCTGAAGTTCTTACCGATTTAAATTACACCACTGATCTGAAGAAAGA